ATTGGAGGGGGGAGGGTAGAGGAGGCTCAGCTGGCAGGTGTGGGGACTGTGAGGGGTCAAGGTCTGGAGTTGGAGTAACTGCAGATGGGAGCTGAACCACCATTATCCCAGAATCCTAGAGGCCAGATTGGGGTCCCGAACCCCAGGTTCTCAAGGGAGCCTCTGTAGGCCAGGGCTAGACCTTTAAGTGGGCCATGACATCTGGCTTTGAGGGCCACTTATGAGGACTGAAGACAGCTGTGCAGGGGGTGGGGAAGCCTTTAGCCTGCAGCCCTAGGATAACACTTTAGGGGCTGGATTGGGTATCTCACACTCTTTCCCTCCCCAATTGATGGATTGTCTTAGAATTGGTTACTGGGGTATTGTCTTTCCATCTATTTCATTACATTCACTTAATTTTGCTTATTGCTTTTTCTTAATTACATGTAAAAACAATTTTTAACATTGTTTTTAAAATTTTGAATTCCAAAATTTTGTTTCTCCTCTCCCCCTTCCTTGAGAAGGCAAGCAATTTGCTATAGATTATACATGTGCAGTCAAGCAAAACATTTTCATATTAGTCATGTTGCAAAAGAAAACAGATGAAAAAACCTAAGAAAAATAAAGTAAAAAAAAGTATGCTTTGATCTGCATTCAGACTATATCAGTTCTTTCTCTGGAGGTGGATAACATTTTTCATCATGAGTCCTTTGGAATTGTCTTGGATCATTGTATTGCTGAGAAGAGCTAACCCAAATTTACAGTTGATTATTGTACAATATTGCTATTACTGTGTACAATATTCTCCTGGTTCTGCTCATTTAACTTTGCATTAGTTCACATAAGTGTTCCTTCATTACAATGTTAGCTATTAGGGGTTATTTTGTTCTTTGAACTTGTGTCTCCAGTACAGTAGCTGTTCAGATGTAGTAGCTGGTGTTTAATAAATGCTTCCCCCCCACCCCGAGGCAATCGGGGTTGAGTGACTTGCCCAGGGTCATACGGTTAGTTGTTTGTGTAGTTTGTCCTTAGTTCTGGAAGAGGACCATGACTTCAGGGAGATGATGACATGACTTGCAATTGAATTGGATTTGAGTGAAGGAGGGCTGTGCAAAGTCACCAGCCTCACTTTCTCCTCCAGAGCCATCTGGGTCCAGTGGCCAGAGATAGATCAGGATGACTGGAGATGGCCCAGGATGCAGTGGGAGATCTTGCCCTTTTTAAGCTAAAATCTTTTCAAAGTTCTCACTTTGAGTGAAGCAACACCCATTCAGTGAATAGGTCTCTTTAACCCAGAAGGTCAGAGCTGGGAGGGCCCTTAGAAAAGAGGAAGTCAGAGTTGGGTGGGACCCTAGGATATAGACCAAAAATCAAGCAGAGTGATTCTAGAAAGAGTACAGAACTCCAAGTCATAGGCCCTGAGTTCCAATCACAGCTTTTCCCCTTAATACCTGTGTGATTGGGGCAAGTCATTTCATTGTTCTGTGTCTCGGTTTCCTCATATGTAAAATGAGAAGGTAGGACTAGATGGTCTTTAAGAGATCTTAAAGATCATACAGCTAGTAAGTGTCAAGTGTCTGATGCCACATTTGAACTCAGGTCCTCCTGACCTCAGGGTTGGTACTCTATCCACTGTACCATCTGGATGCCCCAATAAATTCTTCTTGATTGATTGACATACCTACTATGTGCCAGGCACTGTACTAGGCAATGGAGATGAAAAAACAGTTGGTAGATAAGGAAAGGTTCTGGAAGGGTTTTTCACCAGAAGGTGGCTCAGCTAAGTCTTAAGGGCAGTGAGGTATTCTAAGAGGCAGGGGCTTCCTAGGCAATGGGGAATGGAGGTGAGAAGACAGGGCAGGGGATGGAGAGTTGATTTGGGGGAACCACAGATAGTCCAGTTTTGCTGGGATTTGGAGTGTGGATAAGAGCAACATGCCATCAGCCTGGAAAGGTAGGTTGGAAACAGATGGTGAAGTCTGAAGCTGAATTTCTATTTTATCCTGGAGGCAGGAGGGAGCCACTGACATTTCTTTAGCAGGGAAGTGACATGGTGTGGGTCCCATGGCGCCAGGCACAGACTGCTGTACATACAGCCAGCAAATTACCAGTCCCTCTGGCGATGAGCAGAGCTGTTCTGGGCCAAGACACTCAGAGCCATCTATATTCATACCATTTTGAACCTCATTCTTCACCCCCTGGGGGTGAAGGGGGAAAAAAACCCCCAAAACTACATAAAATCCTCCCTAGTTACTACGTCCACTGTAAGGGAGGCCAATAAAACCTTTGAAAGACAGATGGTGTCATGAACAGAGCACTGGAATGGGAATTGGGAGATGGGTTCTGGTCTTGGTTCTTACTTATTAGCAAGTCACTAACCCCTCTCTGGGCCTTGATTTCTTCATCTGTAAAATATGTCAGATGGATCAGGTGCTTGTGAAGGTACTTTCTAACTCTGATACTGAATCATGTGCTCATAAAGTTGGAAGGGACTGTGGAAGTCACACAGTCCCAAGCTCCCCCCCCCTTTTTTTTTTTTACAAATGAGGAAACTGAGGCCCAGAGAGATTAGGTGAGTTGCCTAAGGCCACACAGGCTAATAAGTGGAAGAGCCTGGATTTGAACCTAGTTGTTTCAAATCCATTGCTTTTCCAAAGGCACCACCATCAGTCAACAAACATGTATTAATGAACATTTACTGTGTATAGAGTATGCCAGGTACTGTGCTAAATTCTGGGGATAGACAGACACAGAGCTTGAATACTAATGAGGAGACAGCAAAGAGAGAGAGAGAGATACAGGTAGACAGAGACAGAGGGAGAGAGACAGAGAGACTGGATTTGGGATGTCATTGCCCAGGTAGAAAACTCCTTCTCTCAGTGTAGCTCAACACCTTATCTGCAAATTCTAGTCTTGGATTGCTGCCTAGAACTCTGAAGGTTAATGCACTTGCCCAGAGTCCCACAGGTAGTATCTGTCAGTCAGAATTTGAACCCAGGTCTTTCTGATTTTATTAGTTGATTTTCTAATCACTGTACCATCCTGCTTAGGGGAGAGGTTTGGAGAAAGGAGGCATCAGGAAGGTCTTTATAAATATAAAGTGGTTCAGGTAGATGGTGAAATAGGTAGAGTGCCAGGCCTGGAGTTAGGAGGATATAAGTTCAAATGTGGCCTCAGAAACTAGCTGTGTGACCCTGGGCAAGTCACTTCACCCTGTTTGCCTCAGTTTCCTCATCTGTAAAATTAGCTGGAGGAGGAAATGGCAAACTACTCCAGTATCTTTGTCAAGAAACCCCAAATGGGGTCAAGAAGAGTTGAACACAACTGAAAAAAGACTAAACAACAACTTGAACTGTCTTGAAGGAAACCAAGAATTCTGAGGGTCTGGGGTGAGAAGGGAGTACTGTACATTCTAAGAATGGAGTAAGCCAGCCAATGCAAAAGCCAGGAGGAGGGAGAGGGAATGTGGATTATGGGAGGCAGCAGTTAGGCCTAGGATAGCTGTTATCACCTAGTGAGAGAGGAGTAAATGTGTGAGACTCCTGGTAAGCTGGGAAGTTCTTAGGTTGAAACTATGGGATTCTGCTAAGAATCAGACAGGCATTAAGCAGGAGAGTAGCAGGATGCCAATTGCTAAAATTTCATTCTCACTTGTTCAGTCGTGTCTGACGCTTCCTGACCCCATTTGGGGTTTTCTTGGCAAAGATACTGGAGTGGTTAGCCATTTCCTTTTCCGGCTCATTTGACAGATGAGGAAACTGAGGCAAACAGGGTGAAGCGGCTCTTCTGGGGTCCCACAGCTAGTAAGTGTTGGAGGCCGGATTTGAGCTCAGGTCTTTCTGACTCCAGGCTGGGCTCTCCATCCACTTCACCACGTACACCTCGAAAATCGATAATCGCTACAAGTCAATGCTTGATTTATTGTTTGGTTCATTGTCTAGGGACAAGAAAGTGAGGTAGAGAATGTTAACGTTGTGGATTAAGCTTTAAAGTCATGCCGTAGGCACACGTACATATATTTTTTCTTCCGGAGAGCTTGTTGCTAAACATCTGCCAGCACAAGGCAATCAGGATAAGGGTAGTGGGGTGGGTAGGACACCACCTTTGGGAAGGCGGTGAGGGGAGACAGTGTTAGAAAGTCAGAGCTGGAAGGATGGTTAAAGATGTGCTCCAAACGCGAATGAGGAAGGAGGAAACTGAGCCCCAAGGACGTTTCAGAACCCTTTCACATTAGGTGAATCAGATGCCGAGTAGCCCTTCTCCAGATGCCCCGGCGGGCCCGGTGCAGGGCCAGCAGGAGCAAGTGCCAGGTGCTAGGTGCAGGTGCCAGGCTCCCTCCACGTTCCGCCAATGGGCAAAAGTGCCGCACTACAGAGGAGGGCTCAGGGGTGGGGCTACCGCGGTTGGCATCCCTGCTTCCAGCTGGCTCCCCTTATGTTTCTCTGCCTCTTGCCTGCCGGCCTCTCCCGGGGCTGGAACGTTCCCCCGCTCCCTTCCCCGGGCGGGAAGGCCTGGGTCCCAGCTGGCTGGCTTCCCACGTGGGTGCGGCGCGAGCGCTAGAACCCGGCCAGGGTTTGGAGGAGGGGTTCGGCCCACGCGTGCGCATGCGCCACCAGCTCCTTTCCTCCCCCCTCCCCTTTTCTTCTATCCCCTCCCGCCCCTTCCTCCTCCTTACTGGTCTCAGGAAAGGGGGGCGGGAGGGCGAAGCCGGAGCTTGGCCTCAGCCAATGGGCTGGGGGCCCGCGGGCCCGGCCCCCTCCTTCCCTCGAGCGCGGCCCAATCGGAGTTTACTACAATGTTGTGGGGCACGGAGGTGGGAGGGGGAGCTGAGGAGGGGCTGGGGGAGGGGGAGGCGTGCGGGCGCGCGTGAGGGCCGCGAGGGCTAGGGCCGCGGCGCCGCCGGGGACTGTCGGCAGGGGGAGGCGCGCGCCAGGCCGCCAGCTCCTTCCTTCCTCCCTTTCTGGGCTCGCTCGTTGCTTCTGGCGGTCGGTTGGTCAGTCAGTCAGTCAGGCGGGCAGCCCGCGAGGCGGCGGCGCCTCCTGCCATTGTTCCTCGGGCGGCGGCGGGAGCGGGAGCGGCGCGAGCATCCCGAGCCGAGCACGGTGAGGTGAGGTGAGGCGAGGCGGGCCGGAGCCGGGGCCGGGCCGGGCCGGCGCGGAGCTGTCCCCGAGGGGACGGTCCTGGCGCCGCCGCCGGCTCAGCCTCTTTGTCTGCGGCAGCGCCCCCGGAATCCCCGAGCCCTGCGGCCCCGAGGCCCCGCCGCGGGAGGGGGCTCCCCATCTGGAGCAGGGAACCGGGCGCTTTGGACCGGTGGGGAAACTGAGGCCCAGGGGGCGAGGGACTCGCCCAAGGTCACCCTGCAGGGTCGAAGCCGGGACCTCTGGCGGCGGGTCTGGTGCTGGGGCTCGGGCCCTTCGTTCTCCCGAGAAGGGCTCTGGGGCTCGCGGATGTCGGGGCGCAGACGGGGCTGGGGAGTATGGAGGATTTCCAAAAAGTTTTTTACTTTTTCCTCATCCCCCTCCCCTTCTGGTCAGGTCATGCAGGGTCCGCGGCCACGGACTGTCTCAATAGGGGCACCCCACCTTTTCTAGATGTTGTTATTAATCCTCGTTAATAATATAGGTCTTGTTAGGACAATAACAATAGCTAGCATTTACATAGCATTTTACACGTTATCTCATGTTGTCCTCACAACCCTGAGAGCTAGATGCTCTCATCCCTGGTGTACAGAGGAGGACACTGAGGCTGAGAGGTTCAGTGATTTGTCTGGGGTCTCCTAGCTAGTAAGGGACTGGGGCAGGATTGGAACTCAGGTCTTCTGGATTTCCAAGTCCAGCACTCTCTCATCCAACACAAAACACCTAGGTACCTCTAGAACCTGAAGGGACCTCAGTGGTCATCTAGTCGAACCCCCTTGTTTTAACAGAGGAGAAAATCTAGGGCCAAAAGATCTGCCCAAGGTCACCTGGGGCCAGTAAGTGGCAAAACTTCGATTTGCCTCCAGATCCTCTGACTCTTAAGTCCTATGCTTTTCCCTCCCCACTGCCTAGGCTGCCTCTGTAAATCTTTACAGAGTGTTTTCTTCATTGCAATCCTGTGCAATTATTATTATTCCCATTTTAAAGAAGAGGAAAATGAGGCTCAGGAGAGGTGATAAAATTAGTCTTGGAACTGGAATTCTGCAAAGGTTCTGACACCAAAATTTGACTAACATGCTTGTGTGTGTGTGTGTGTGTGTGTGTTGGGAGGAGGAGAGCAAACTGTAGGCTCTGAAATGCCACAGGCATATGCATATGAGAGATAATAGTTTATGTTCATATAGTGCTTCAAAGTTTACAAAGCATTTTCCTCGTGGCAAACTGGTTCCAGAAAACTGAGTTACTTAGAGGTCATATGACTCATTTGTGGTCACCCAGTACAGATTTGAACCCAGGTCTCTAGAATCACAAATCCAGGGCTCATTCCACTTCCGGGTTACCTTCTATCATAGTGCTGGTATTTTGGTGGCAGATTCCATTCTACTTTCTAGCGAGATGGTTTTGGGCATTTGAGAAAAATACACTTTTAATAGTCTCTCAATTTGAGAGATTAAATATATATGTATATTTTGTTTTTAGGATTCTGTGGAATCAGAGGGTTACTTATTTTGGCATTGTGACCACACCTACACCCACACACCCACTAAAATTTACTAAGGATTGTATTATTATCTTACCTATGCAGATATTGGATACTAGACTTGTCTTCAGAATTTCATCATCAAGCCTATTATTGGTGAGGTTTTGCCCAAACAGGTTTATTCTTCCTAGGAACAGGCATTCTCTTGAGAGAGAAAGTGATCTCATGGGGAACAAATTGCTGATGGATTGGTTTCTAGCCACATGATAGTGACTGTCATGCTGTTGTTTTCTTGACTGCACTTGGTCATAATTGAATAGTCTTTGGAGACTCTCTGGCATATGTGTTTGAGATTTTTTGAAAGATGCTAAGCCTTTTTTTTTTTTAAGTAGTTTGGATGGTTTCACAGCTGCTATTTTGTTCTTTCTGCTTTTAGGGAAAACTGAAATAAATGGTTATGCTCTGAGTATTATTATAGCGGGTTTTATGGCTCATCAGGAGGATATATGACAGTTCTTTTATTCCTTACTCTTTCCATTGTCTGTCTGAATTTGAACTGAAACCTTTGTTGGTTTGGCCATTTACTTCAAGCCACCATTTTTTTTCCTTTTTAAAAATCCCATTTAATCCCAGTTCTGCTCTTGTAATATAAATCCCTACTGAAAAAACAAAGATGTAGGCTACAGCCCTCTTTCCATTCTGTAAATCTTATAAATTCCTTACCTTCTAGATATTGGTATTTTTAGAAATTAGTTTTCTATGTGAAGTTTAAACCAGTAATAATAGCTAACATTTATATAGCACTTACTGTGTACCAGACACTGTGCTTAAGGGCTTTACAATTATTATCTCATCTGATCTTGTTTTCAATGTGTTCATTTTGTTTTCCATTTCTTAAGTATAGGGTGGCATTTATTACTATTCCTACTCAGAATTCTGGAAGTGACTTTCTTGTGTGATGGAGGAAAAAGCCAAACTTTTAGTTCTTATTGAGGAGAAAGTATTCCATATAAAGTTTTACTCTGCCAACTCTGTTAACTAGCCAACCAGGACTGAAAAATCAAGAGAATATTTGTGTTTCTGACATATTTGTGTTTGAGTTGTGTTTCCTTTAGTTAAAACAGTGATATAGTAAGTTCATTCTTTAGCAGAGGTTGACAGCTTCCTGTGATTCTTTCCAGTTCTTAATTTACACATTTCAAATAAAAATTCTTTGGCTTTTCAATGGCCTAGGTCATAAGGAAAGGAGAAAGGGTAAATTGGTATGTGCTCATATTTAATTAAACTTTGTAATTAATATAGATTCTTCCAGTCAGGAGGGATGCTAAACTTTTCTTTGGACCTTAAAAAACTACATATGAAATTTCCATTCAGGTTTTTAAGTTTGTTCAAGATGTGATCCAGAAGTTTTAGAACCAGGTACAGGTGATAAATGAGTTAGGAGCTAATTCTTCAGCTGTGTGACTGAAAACTAGAAATATGGAAATTGATTGTATTAGTAATGTCATTAGTAACAGGTACTATGTTTGCACAGTACTTCTTTTTCAAGTGTCCTAAGACAGTTGATATAGAATTTTATTGATAGTCCTTTTAGGAAGATAGCTAATGGAAAGTTTTCCAGGAGTAGTCAAGAAGATTAAATATAGCAAATCACAGAAATTCAGTTTCCTAGGTTCAATATAACAAACATTTATTAAGGGCTTTCTATATGCCAGGTGCTGTTGTTAGCTACAAAGACAGAAAAGTGACAGTCTCTGCCCTTAAGGGGTTTATATTTTCCCTATGGTGTGGTCCAGCATGTTTACAATTAAATATTAGATTTATATAAAAATAATACAAAGTAATTTCACAGTGGGAGAAGACACTAATGGGGGGGGGGAGAAGGGAATCAGGAAGATGCCCTTGTGAGAGATAGCACTTGAACTCAGCCTTGAAGGGAATTAGGAGAGTCCAAGGAATAGAGGTGAGGCAAGAGAGCCTTCCAGGCTGGAGGTGTGGGGGTAGGAGGGAAGTGAGGGTGCAGCCTGTACAAAGGCACAGAGGTGGGGAGGGGAATTCTGGTATTAATGGAGTACAAGCTTTTAGTGAAACTCCTCTGAAATTTCCCCAGATCTTAATTTTTTTTTTCTCATAAGGAATGTCTTCTTGATCTCCATTTCAAACCAATGGGGCTTGATTGTACACCACAAGGGTTCTCAGCCTGGGTACTTACAAGCACAGGGTCTACGAGAAACTTTTCAAGGGCATGTGGGAATATTTGGTAAATAAATATAATTCTATTGAAATTAAAATTTTAATTTTATTTCTTATGAGCATGTATTTAATGCTAGAATTTATTTCCTTTCATATTGTCTAGGGAATGATGGAGTTGTTTCCCTCTTAGAATTTAAGCTGGGAGCAGGAACTATTTCATTCATTGTATTTGTAGCCCCACAGTGCCTGACATATACAATACACTTAATAGTTACTAGTTGACTGATTGGTTTGTTTACTGTAAGCTTAAAGGTAAGGGACTTGAAAAGAGGCAGAGAACCCCTGTGTACGGACAATACAAGTAAAAAGCTCCAAACGTTACTGCTATTTCCCTGGTATGTTCATTCATTTATGGAGCACTGTGCACTTATCACTGTATCCTTTGTTGCTTTTATTTTAAACAGACACATGTCTGGGTCCTCATGTAATGTGGGAATCTAAGCCTCTTGAGTTGAAGGCTTATGCCTTAAATACTATGGATGATGCAAAGTTAAGCTGTTTGAAATGTTAGGTCAAATAGAATAAAGTAGAATTCGGGAAGGGTAAATGTAAAGGTCAGTTTTTCTGCACTTGTGAATTTTTTTTTTTTTAAATACACTCATCTACGGTATGTAAGAGTTGTGGCCAGATAGAATTGTCTGAAGAAGATCTGGGGTATTTAGTAGACTTTAGGTTCAGAACGAATTTTTATCTAGCCTTCAAGAATGTTAATGCCATCTTAGGTTGCAAGGAGGGAAACAAGGCTTGGAGGGCTAAGGAAAAAGTTGAAAGGCTACCTCGTTGCAGAGGGATCGGACTTACTCCGCTTGGCACAGAAGATTGAACTAGGAGGAACGAATGCAAGGTGCAGAGACGTATTCTGGCCTTGAGCTCTTCCAGATTAGACAGGTCAGAGCTGTCCAGAGGTGGGATGGGCTGTTTTAGGAGCAGAGCGGATAATAAATGCTTGTTGATTGGTTATTGTGTTTGGTGGAGAGGGAACTTTTGTGGTTGTCTGGGCTGTATTAGGTACCCTCTGAAGTTCAGTCTAACTCTGAGATTTCATGAATTTGACATGGTCCTTGCCTTCAGAGGTTGCCATTTCCCAGGGATGATAAGAGATATATAAATAACTACTCTAGAAAGTATATTTCTTTAATATTTTTCTATATTGTCTTACCCTCTCTACTAGATTGTAAATTCCTTGAGGGCAGTGACTTTCTTGTTTATATTTATATTTCCCTCAGCACTTAGTGC